TTGTCCTCTTTTTCTTTTTTCTTTTCTTTTTATCTTTCCCTTTGTCTTGGCCAATGATTTCAAACCCTAAAGAGGAACGGAACCCTAATAATGCCATTTTCTACTTGTTGGAATTGACCCAACATTCAACTTGGGTTGTGCATAATGGGCCTAGACTACCGCCCATTAGCCCAAAGTGAGTGAGCACTAGTACAAGCATACCCACATGGGTAGCGCCACGTGGCCCAATGGGATGCTTACATGTACAGACGTATGTCAGCATTTGGGGCTATAAATACCCCCCAACTACCTCCGATGAAGGTAATTAACTCCACCGCGCTTCTCTCTTTGCAATTACTCTTCGAGAGCATCTCTCTCTAGAATATTGAGTATTGTTAACTTGAGCGTCGGAGTGTCTTCCCCAAGAAAACATCCTCGGGAATTTCAGGTGTGGAAGCAGCTGAAGACTTCAACAGTGTTGGATCGTGAAGCTGCCCAAACACTACTAATCTCTGTTGTCCTCTTTTTCTTTTTTCTTTTCTTTTTCTCTTTTCCTTTGTCTTGGCCAATGTTTTAAGAAATAAGTTATAAGGTTTAAAATAAAAATGAAAAATTATTGAATCTAAAATTGGAAAAAATGGAAAGCTATAAAGGACTTTAGCATCACCCCTAGGGTGGACCTTGGCCACATACCAAACCCAATAATTAAGTTAAAGGGTGAAAAATGGACATTTATTATAAATTGAGGGATTAAAATATGTATATTTAAAAAATTTTAACAAATTAATTAATGAAAGAATTAAAAGATACTCTTTTTATAGTTAAAAGACAAAAATATATATACATATATATATATTAAATAAAAGACAAAAATTATATACAAACTTAGAATTAATGAACTAGCTAAATTTAGCATTTATCCTTCTTCTTCTTATCCCTTATCACTTTATGTATCATTTGATGGTGACTTTGCCATTACTTTCCAGTGGCTTTTCCATCAATGGTGGTGGTGAGTGTGAATAGAAAAAAAAGTTGCCTTTACTTTCCATATAACTTTAGTTTTTCTTGGCTGTTTTGTTTGACTGGTGTAGTCTTCCACTAAGCCTTTCGTGGTAAATGCGAACAGAAGAAAAAGTTGCCTTTACTTTCCATATACTTTAGTTTTCTTGGCTATTTTGCTTGATGGGTGTAGTCTTCCACTAAGTCTTTCTTTATGTTTGCATCATTTTCTACAATAGATTAAGATCACATTTGGATCTTCATGTTGCTCTTTTTGAATATTTTCCTTACCCAAAATAATTGTCATTTTTTTATTTTAAATTCATTTTAAATTAATTATTATTTTTATATTTTAAAATAAACAAATAATTTTTTGTATTAAACTTATAATTATCTATTTATTTTAGTTAATTATCTTATCATAAATTTTTTTTATCTTTTTGTTTTTTTGGGTAATATAAGTAGATACATAAATTGTTTTTAAATCCTTAAATTAAAAAAAGAAAAAAATAACAATTATGTTTTTTTTTTAGAGAAAAAAATATTATCCTTTGAGTATAAGGATAGCCAACCCATTTACAAAGGTAGTTATGTTAGTATAGAAGCAGTATAAATTTTTCTAAATTAAAGTTTTCTAAAGACCTTTAATTATATGTTTAAATTAAGGGCAATGGAGGAAAGGGAAGGGAAATTTTATCCTTCCATTCCTCTCTATTATCCTCCCCTCCCTTTGTCTCATTTAGCTAAGTAAGTAGATTAAAAAAAGAATAAAATAAAAAAAAAATTACCTTCTCTTCACTTCCAATTTTTTTTTTTTATAATCAAATAAGTAAAAATTTTCTCCTTCCCTTTTCTCTATTCTCTTCAACTCAAACATATTATAATTGACAAAGAGTTGCCTCTAACAAAATCCTATTTTATGATTGCCTAAATATATTAGCTTTTATCATTTATCCTTTAATTATTTATAATTCAACTCGTTTAAAATTAGTTATTTATTTTTTTAACATGTTATTTAATATGTTTACTTTTGTTTTTACTTTATTTTAATAAGATAATTATAGTATATACAATATGTTACAAAAAATGTTTGTTTAAGCAATGATTAATTAAGAATATTTATTAAATTTTATGAATTAATTATCACATTGATTCCTATTTTATTGGGGAAAAAATTAAGCTAACTAAAATTTGAATAGAGGGAATATATATACTACTAACAATAGCCAAAAATCTTATTTTAATTCTAACTTAAACTTCTAATAATCTATTAATTTTGGCCCTAATTAAAAGTCACAAGCTAAACCTAATTAAAATAAACCTAAAACTCCGAATAAAACTTAAAGACTCAATGCAAAAACAAACAATCTTAAAACTAATAATTAAAGAGGCCTTCTATGCTCCTGCTTTGTCTTTTTAGTTGAAACAAAAATTGCATTACTCGAGGTACAAAGGTTCCACCTTGGTTCAATTGAATTTTAAAGGAAAAAATGTAATAAATTTGGTTAGTTAAATAAAAAGGGGGTCCAAAACTGGACCAAACGTTGAACAGCCCAACCTACATCACATGGAGAATTTTTTGAAAGAAAGATTCCATTTCCGTTACCTAGAAGCCATCAATATTTTTATAAAAAAATTGATTCAGTACAGACAACTGTCTTCCATTCACAATTCTTCATGATAAGCATCACTTGCATATTCTTTTCACAAGCATTTGCTAGACATCTTCAACTTCAGTTCAAAAAAAAAAAAAAAAAAAATTGCATTTGCTAGGCATCTTCCAACAAATATCCAACAGTTTCTTTCTTAAATTTCTCTGTTCTCCTTAGCTAGCCCAGGTCTTGTGATTAGAACGTATCATGGTTTCAATCGAGTGGATCTGCTCCTTGGCCTAAGTTGGTTAATTATCAGTGTCTACTTTCTTCAATTTCTTGTGTTTTCTACAGGTATACTAC